GATAAAGAGGTGGAGTAAAAGAGGGGGAAGGGGATAAGGGAAAGGAAAGAGACGGCATCTCCGACATCCGGCGCTATCGCTGTCGCATCGCCTCGAGTTCGATGAGCAACAGCCGGCGGAAAGGATAGATGCGAGACATCTTCGCGAGACCGGATCCACCGCCGCGGATCCTCGAGGAAGGCCCGACGATCCGTCGTCGTCCTTTCAGGCTCCGGTTGCGATCGCGCGCCCTGCGTCTCCCTCGGATGCGTCGAGGATCGCGCGATGCGGACGGTCGAGGAGGACAGGATCGCGACGACGGCGACGGCGAATCGAGCGTGCCGACCCTCCGAGGCAACCTGCAACAATAATCGTCCGACTCATGGTATGCTAAAGCGAATGCGTAGATTGCATCGGACATGCTCAATTGATCTATGGACGCGTCGCGCATCGGGACACGCGTCTCTCTCTTTTTCCTTCTCTCTCTCTCTCTCTTTGAACCGTTTAGTTATGACAAGTGATACCGTGTGCGTGAGCCTGTACTTGACGCGTATCGTTCTTTTACGAAGCGGTTGTGCAAATCGTTTTAGACTTGCTTGCGCATTGTTAAGTAATGCGCCGATGATTTCAAGACGGAATTACTTCGAATGGAATTTATACATCTATCTTGAGTGACTGAAAACATCGATTTTTTTCAAAAGAAACGTAGATTCTATTTTTTCGAAATTTTTTCACGTTTGGAATTATACCTTTATGTGTGTGTAAAGCAAATATATTACTACTTTAAATAAGACGGAATTACTTCGAATGGAATTTATACATCTATTTTGAGTGACTGAAAATATCGATTTTTTTCAAAAGAAGCGTACATTCTATATTTTTTCGAAATTTTTTCACGTTTGGAATTATACCTTTATGTGTGTGTAAAGCAAATATATTACTACTTTAAATCCGATTTCTCCAGAGATCCAGAGCCACGCGATTATAGAGAAGATCATGTTTTTTTTTCGCATTTCTGCTAAGTATCATCATATATCACATACGATACATTTATATTTCTTGCGTAAAATTAACATTTCTTTGCCAGGCCGAATATACATACATGGCGCGTATCTCGCGTATATCACGTCACAACATTGCGGTTTGATATCAGTTTAATCGAAGTAAATCCGTTTAATGTGTCGACGATACGCGCACGTATATCTGGCGCGCATATATCACGTAGGCGATCGGCGATACGCGCCGACGAGATTCTTCGCTTAGGAATTCAATACGTTTCTGAATGCCAGTGTCATAAAGAGCAAGTTATTCAACGGACACCCACGCGAACGCGGACGCGAAAGAGAACAAGGGAAGACGCTCACCTCGATCAGGCTTCTTGTAGCTCGCCCTTCACTCCCGGTACGCCATGCTGATGCCTCGAGGCGAGTTTGTTCGCCAAATCGTGCATCACATCTCTGTATATCACGGTGTCCAAATTCTCGCCTAGCATGTAGAGGAGAAACCAATCGCCTACCTTGCTGCGACGTACTATGGTCTCCACGGCGTCCCTCCGTACCAAACGAAATCTCATTCGCAACAGGTAGACCCTCGTGCGCGGCGAAAATATTATTAGGATCTGTGACAAATATTATTATATTAAGAATAAAGAGGAAAACTCCATTTTAAATGATAAAATCTTCTAAATTGCGAGAATATAAAAATAAATATATTATTTTATTATCTTTTAAAGAGATAAGAAATTTTTATATATTTTTTTGCATTTAAAGAAATACGTTGTTTCCTTAAATATGACATACACGAGCAATTGTATTTCTTTTTCCACATCACAGATATATTACTCGCAAAATAAGATAATCTTTGGGATCGTACTGACCCTATACAAAACCGTAAAGAAACTGAGCACGCCGAGGAAAAGGAACCAGAACCAGAGGAAAACATAGATCTTCTCGTTGACGACGTTTAAAGGCAGTATACAAACGGCGTCGTGCCTCTCCACCTCCCCGCTGACGCCGTACTTGTAGAAAGTGCATTTGGTCATACGTGGAAAGACGTAAATCATCGGGTCCACTCGGTCTTCTTGATCGGATTCGAGGAATTTGAGTACGTCGATACCGAAGGTCAAGAAGGCGCCGTCGAAGAAGCGATTCATCAGAAACATCTGACCTGCGACAATGTGCTCGTTGCTTTACAATTTTACATCATCTCTTTCTCCTGAAGAGCAAATTTGACGCTCATAAAACACACAACTATCTACCTATGATATACAAAAATTTGCAACCAGTTAAAATAATCGATCGTTTTTCTTCTATATACAGCTTAAAGAGAAGAAACCCTTATTTCTTTTAGATTTCTGAGAAAAATATATCTCATTAAAAATCTCATTACAGTATGTTATACATGTTTGAATAATTTTACTTTAAATATTTTTTTACTATAGTGTAGATAAAATATATATCGATGCTTCTATTAATATTAAATGCAAGAAATTTATTTTATTAATATTATTGAAACAAATATTAAATCTTAATAAATAAAACTCACTGATCTTGAAATTTAGGATAATTAAATTATTCATAATTGTTTTAGAATATTTCGTATTTGTTTCTTAAAAAGTATGGATTCATATAATTTCAGATTTAATTTGTACGCGTTTCTGTAACTTGTATATTTTATTGATTCACACGTGTGAACAATCATACATTCATATTCGTCTACGTTGATTACAGTCTTATCGCTGTTTGATCCGTGAACATATAATAGACTTTGCATAAAATTGACGAGCCCATCGCATGGTCAATCGGGCGGTCAAGCTTGCAAACAGTTGGCCAGCTGTATCGTTGCCAACTTTTATCGTGAATTGGATTCATTCATCCGCCGCTCATTACACGGGTGTCTGTCTTTTTCTTGATGCGTATATGTTAGAAACTAACGCAAATAAACTAGCATAGAGCTCATGTTCATTGAACTTTGCTATCTTTTTTTGATGTGTCTATTAAATGATTACATCATTCTATTGCGTATTGACTATCGATCAATGAGTCTGCACAGATCGATGGCCAACCATAATCGTTCCAATATTCTTGTGAACCAATAGAAAAATCGCTCGCTAAATTCATGCATCTCTAAACTGTGTGTCGTAATCTATTATATTTTATTAAATAATATTGAATAAGATTCAATAGAGCAAGATGGAAAATTTGTGATATATTTAAATGCTTATTTCCACAGAAATTTAATTTTTCTGTTGCTTTCAGATAACGGTATAATTACTTAAACAAGGTTTAGAAACCATAGATGAATATTGTTTAAAAACGTGATTCATAAATGTAAATATTTCTTGAGTTCAGTTTCAGTTCGTATAATATAGTTCGAAAACACACAGAATAAATTATTTTATATGTATACCTATTTAAATATAATATCTATGTAAAAGATTTAAAAATTATCTATAATTTTTTATTAATGTAACTTACATAACATATGATTTATTATACACAGAAAAAAATGCTATTGCTTCAATTAAAGTCGACGTCACGGGCTGCCACAAACATATATAGTTCATTCAATGATATTTTTATTGGACCAAATATCTGGATTATTAAAACAACTATCTGATGAATATCAGGTAGCTGTTTTAATAATCCAGATTGAATGATATTCATCAGACAGTTGTTTTAATAATCCAGATATTTGGTCCAATAAAAATATCATTGAATGAACTATATATGTTTGTGGCAGCCCGTGACATCGACTTTAATTGAAGCAACAGCATTTTTTTCCGTGTACTTTAGTAAAAAATATTTAAATAAAAATAAACGCATTCACACACACGACACAGACACATGTATATAATATATCTATAAAAGATTTTTTTCTATGACATGTTTCTCAGAAACCTAACATAAATAATGACTCTTCTCCTCTTTAAACTGTATATATTACAGAGTATTAGAATTTTTATCTGCACGTTTATTAGAAAACTCAGCATACATTTAACTATTTTAATCGCGATGCGCATTAACTATTTTCCTTGAAATTGCCAGCAAAACAAGAGGAAAAAATATACAATATTTTTTTTTTAATTTTAATTTAAAATATTTCAACATATAGCGAGAAAAAATAACAAATTAATTTCAGCTGCGTACGTATATATCGTACATATGTATCTTCGATAGCGAAACGACGAAATATTTTAAATATATTTTTCAACGCATATATTTATTGATCGTAAACGAAAAATGCGCGTTAAAAAAAAATATATTCGCTGCCTAATGGACTCGCGAAAACCGGAATTCGTTCGAGTTACGACATCACGACCAGACATATGTTGTCGATGACGAGAAACGCAAACATTGACGAAGGACACACGGCGAACCGAAAAAAAAGAAGAGCGAACTACTCACCGATGACGTTCAGCAGCGCGAGGACCTCGCATAGGTAGTATCTGTAAGCCCACCAATTGTGAAAGCGTAGGTTCTCCCAAAGGTAGTCGAGCAGCATCTTCTTCTTTTGCTTTTTCTCCACCTCGGAGCATAGTCCGATGTCGAGATCCATCATAAGGGCATGAATCTTACCACCCTCCCATCCCTTCCAGAGCCAACGCGGAGTATAAAAGAGGATCGCCTGCAAGCAAAGTGCCGAGTGAATAAATACCGGCGAATCGACCAATAGCTGATATATTACAAAGAAAAAGAAAGAGAGAGAGAGAGAGAGAGAGAGAGAGAGTTCTATTTTATGCGGACCTACTTACATATACTACATAATCGATGCGAAAGAGCGCGCAAAATGAGTTATCATTATTGTGTCTTGCGCCGATAATTGCTGATTAAAACAATATTTGAAAAAAAAAAGAAAATTCCTTTTAATTTATGAACTTTTAATGAAAAAAAATCGACAGCCAGTCACCTCCTTTCAAAAGACGGAAAATATTGCTTTTTATCAGGATTATTTATGTTACATGAAATTGCATAGTGGACGCCATTACTCATGGCTTAATTGCAGTCCAACCAATTAAAAACAAGATTTAATTTGTGGTTGTTTTAATTACTACGATAACTTCATTTTGCTGGATTCTTTCTTGACATCTCGATATTATGTGACATGTACGAATTGCTTACGAGAGATAAAAATTAAATTCTGTTTTGTCAAGTTTTTATCATAATATATAGTTATCATAATATTTTATTACTATAATCTCTCTTCTCAATCATTAATATTTCAAGATAGAAAACGCGGGAAAGAAGAAGAGATATTGATAGACATGCTAGAAAGAATAATGCGAATTAATTGAAATCGGAGCAATCTTATCTCGTATTAAAATTTCTGAAACGATGTCAATGCACTTATCGAGATCATGACGTGGGGCTAAACCCTTTCTCACGGTATATAAAGCTCTCTCTGGCTTATCGCCAGGGACCGCAGGTCGTGTTTGCCGTAGTACGCGATCGAATATAGATACATGCGCGCGTTGCCTCTTACGACGTGTTGGCGACTGTTCAGAAAATTCTGACTAAATTACAATTTATGGAAGGTGACATAGGCTCGGGATGATTGTTAATGAAAGTAGGCGGTATACGTGTTTAAACTATGTCAGAGCTTTAATAGGGTTTCGAAATATACGCTTTGTCGCCGCGAATTACATTGTTTCTGAGAAACAACACATTGTTTTAACTTGGAGACACAAATGTGTACATGACGATATAATTTTATTATGGGGAAAAATTACAGTTTATTTTTAAATGTTATATATATATATATATAATGAATTTTTTGTCATATTAACGCAAAAATTTTGGATTCCGCCTTTTATATTAAATGCATCAAGAATTCAATTATTTAATCAGATTTTTTAATGAAATTACATGAAATATACAAAAAAATATTTTATTATTTGACTATTTAAAGTAACTTTTTCGTTGATTTTTTAAATATTGTAAATAAAAGATGTGTGTGTGTGTATGTGTGTGTGAAGGTAATTATACGTGAAAAAAATTATGGCTACTAAAAAGTGCCAGGGAATTGAAAACCACAGATAAAATAAAAATGTAATAAACATGCAACATAATTCGTTTAATAATTTCAACGTACGTAGTTTACACAAGAGCGACAGGAGTAGGTATTCAGAATGGGTGGTCTGACCTCGCTCTTGACAAGATTACGAAGAAACGTAAAACAAACGCGCATGTCAAACCGATTGTACGACGATTCACAGCTTTTAGCATTATCGCGAGGCAACTGCGAGTCCGCGTGTAAAAGAGAAAAGGAAAATGTGTGACCAAAAATAGATTTGTTTTTCTTCTCGTCTCTCTTTCCTCGGCAACCAGAATCGAATATGGCCACATTGGCTGCCCTACTAAAAGGGCATTTGTATTTTGCTGTCGATATCTAAGCTCACAAATATTCCTTCAGATATGTAAATAGGTTTAAACACATTGATGAGAAAGAGAGACCGATGTGATATCTATTCTTTAAAATAATATATACGTAAAAGAAAATAATATTAAAGTCTATTAAATTCTAAAAGTTTATTAAATTTTTAAAAACTATGAAATCAAGCCTTAAATTCTAGAAATTTGAATTTTCACAAAATTATATAATCTTTATTCGTAGAAAAACAAACAAATATTAAATCTAAATCTTCTTAGATTTCATGAAATATAATTCTTGTTTTTTAATATAGTCTTGTGCAAAATATAATAGTAAAGTTTATTAAGGCCTATCTTTCAAAGTCGTCTTTTACAACTGTTGAAAGCTTAACACATACATAGCTCGACTATTCAGTCGCAATAACTCATAATAATAAGACAAAACTGAAGAAATTTATGAGATATGCGGCAATCCAGCGCAACCGCTTACTATAATTATATTATATGTAACGTGAGTAATATCCATTTCTGAGAGGAAAGAATCGCATACATGCCTCTCGCCACATGATTCTCGGCCGATGCATAGCGGCCCATGTGTCACGTTAGCCCCGAGTAAATTTAGCTAAACAAGGCGAAAGAGTTACAAGCCTCCGAGGAAAGGAGAACGAAGCGAACAAAGAAGTGTTATAGCTACTTTTAACGCGCTTAAAAATAAGCGCGTAATGTGTGTAAGGCAACTAATTTTTCTCTCGATGTTGTGTGTGTGTCAAATGTAAATACTTTAAATCTATTTTTTGTAGCTAATATTCTCGTAGAATGCTTAGATCATTGATATATATAAAGTCTTTCTGATTAAAAGATAATTCTCTGCGTTTTATATACAGAATGGGCCCAAACGTTCCGGCCAGATTTTGAGATTTTATAGGAAATTTAATTCTGAACAAAAAGTTTCCTATAAACATGGATCTAAAAATGCTTCCTTAAAAAGTTAGCAACCAAAAACCTCTGAAATCACGGTAATTTATACATTTTTACAAATATCAGGGAAAGTATGCGTTTTTTAACAAAAAGTACCGAAACAAAAGTTGTAGAGAATTAAATTATCTTTCGAATGAGATCAAAATGATTGTAGTTCCAAGAAATTTATTGGTTTTATTATATTAAGGAAGTATTTTTCGACCAGTGTTTATAGGAAATTTTTTATTCAGAATTAAACTTCCTATAAAATCTCAAACTCTGGCTGGAACGTCTGGGACCATCCTGTATATTTTCAATTCCATTAAACTTTATAATCTCTTTTATTTAATAAAGATAGCCTTATCATAAATGTAGGTATTAGCAATATTATAGACGTTTTGTGTATGTCAAGCTGTCAGTATCTAGAAAATATATCCGGATGCGCGGTAATCAATCGCAAAATAAAAGGCGGATGCACGATTAATCAAAGAACGAGAGAGTTGTACGAGCCTCGGACGCATAAATAGAGGACTCGAGGAAAAGGGCGATATTGTACGTGCGCGAAGACGAGTAATACTTGAGGTATGGGAGGCGGAGGTACGATCGAAGAGATAGCATCAAAGGTACGTACACATTTTAAAAGCAGAAATATATCTGTAACCTGTATTTATGAATTGACGTTATGAACAAGGATTATCAATCACGGATAAACGAATACACGCATTCGCCGCCGACCGTATATTGTTCTTGTATTGAGTCTGGACTCGCAATTTCTGGACCATCTTAATTTAGATACAAATGCTACGAGCATTTCTCGGCACGATCTCTCGCGTTATTAATTTTAAATAATTTCAACATTTTTTTATGGATAGCTTCAACTTGAATACTAATTAATATCGATATCGTGATATCTTACATATAAGAATAAACAAAGAATAACATTCCTCGAGAAAATTGAATTATCCAATATTCCTTAATCCAATCCAATTGATTATAACGATAAATAAGATGTCATAAAAAAGAAGTAATATGGAAACACAGAGAACACAGAATGTTTCGAAAAAAATCGATAGAGACGCAACACGAGAAATCCAAGAGAAAAAAAAAGAGAGAGATACAGACAGACCGTCGTTTCTTACTTGCAGTAGCAAGAGGAAGATAACCCATTGATAGTATTTGTGCTGCTTGACCAGCGGGTGGGGCGCATGGCCGTGCATCCCGTCGCCCTTGCTGTTCGACACTCCGGGATAAGGCACGGCCTGGCCCATACTCAAGTTGAACGCGCGCACCATGCTATACGTGGTATGAAGCCAGCAGAAGGTCTCCAACACGGCCTTGTCCACGGAACCGCTTGCTTCGCAATGAATTGGCGAGCCGGAGATACTCTTGCAGGCGAGGGTGAGACACCCGGCGAGAAGTACCGCCACCGTGGCGCGATAATGAAGCCGAAATATCATCGAATCCTCGGCGATTCTATGCACCTTGAAGAGCGATCGAATCGAGCCGAATAGATCGATCATTTTGAGCATCAGTGGCATATTCGACAATTGGGTAGAGAGAGATCCGAGAATGGGCCCTTCGAGTCAATTCGAGACGATTTTCCGCGTTTTCGTGATCCCTGCTCTTTAGTTCTTCCACCGTCGAGAGGGAGATAAATTTGCTTTTACGGAAAATCGCTTTTGGAATTTTCTCGCGTATTTTCCGGATATTTGAATGGAAATATCTCTCTCTCTCTTTTGTACAAATTTATCCGACTCTTGGCAAGACACATTAACATACAATTTTACTTGCGAACTGATTCATCGGATCCGCACTTTCGCTTCATTTTACTGTTAAGCTAAAACTAGATCGCGTGATTATTGTTTTAGCTAAATTGCCGGAAATGAATAACGAATGAATCGTTGTAAGAGCGCAATTACAGTCGTAAAAGTGGACCACCCGTGTAGTTCACTTCGCGCCCTGCGTGCGAGTTTTGAGAATGGGCCGAAGACAAAAGTGTACATTGTGTATATATGCATTTGGTAAGCACATAAATCAACATAAAAATCACACGATATTATTGATCGATTTTTAACTTTTCGTTGGTTTGTTTCTCTCCCTTCGGTTATCTCTTTTCGAGATATTTTCTCATTTTTTTTTGTGATCTGTTTGATCTGATAATATTATATCTCCTTTGAAGAGTTTTAAGGATCGTTTATTTGTAAAGTATATTGATTTACTCTTTTCTCTGTAGTTTTATCGTACAATTGTATTGACGAAACAAAAATTGGTACAATCATCTCCGCAGCTTTCATTCTAAAAAATGCTTTATGGATCGCAAACAGATGATTCTTTACAAACACAATCACACAAAAATACACTTGGAATAAACACTATTTATTTATTATTTTGTTTATAATAATTTTAAAAGTTACTGTTTATATTTCTCAGATATACACACACACACACATCCGATTGATTGTTTTTTATCTTTGTCATAAAATAATGCATAATCTTATCGACTTTATTTTAAACACGGAATAATATTTTAAGAACTTGAAGACTTTTGACAAAATGTAGACGCTTATGAAAGAAAAATTAAAGACGATAAATGGAGTCGGGAAAGAAACACGCGCGTGAGGCTCGGATACAAGCTGTCAGAAGACTGACCGGACTTGAGAGGCATCCCTTGACCTCGATACTAAACATATAACTTATATTATCTTGCAAGTGTCTGCATTGAGTCGAGTTAACATGATCAGCCAGAGGCCGATTGACAGGACATTAAAGTGTATTATGGATTAAAGTGTATCTATTATCCGTGATCTAATACGTGTATAGTGCGTACAAATGTTTGCGCGCGTAGATTTCCGGTTTATAACAATAAATAGCTTCACTTTGTTTTAAAGTTTGCAACAGGCTAATAAAGTCCAATATCACGTAACAAGATTTGGTAAGATTTACAGTCGTGCGTAATAAAATTACGTAGCGCGATAATATCATAACGACGACGATTTGCAAAATCAAAGAGAAATGAATAAATCCTGATGCGTTATATTAATGCTTACCAAAACGTAAATATTTTTTTATATAATATCGTAGATCGTAAAATATTCGAGACACACTGTAAACTTCACGTACGCATCATTAAATCTCCGCGATAACGTGTTGAAGAGGAGAAATCTATTTTTATCCCTGAAATCCAAGAGAGAAGAGGTTCAAGTGAGATAATAAACGGCTATAATCTATTCCCTAAAATTCTTTTACTCTCCCTCATTACGTTACATGACGCGGTTACATTGTCAGATAAGCGGGGGCAACGGATCCCTGTAAAGCTCATCGCTCTAATTGCATCGCGGACGGGAAGTACAAGGCGGTTCGACGATCGCCATCATCGAAAATATACTTAATCGCGCGTGTTACGAGCGCGCGTAACACGTTCCAGGGCTACGAAATTAAACGCGCCATTATCATGTGTAAAAGCATACTACGATGAACCGAAATGTGCACTTGCGAAACCGCACTTGTCATCGTTCACCCGAACGGTGGAAAAATAGAAAGTAATAAAAAGACGACAAAAGATCGAGATAAGATATTCGTGTTGTAATTAAAAACCGGAATGCCTTTTCGTCGACTCCTTTAGCACGAGCGTTCCAAAATAATTCTCGCCATTAACGAGATTGTCGAGTCAAGGAATCTGAAAGAATTTCGATTGATTATGTTTTTTTTTTTCTGTTATGTATGTATTTTTTATTTATTTTTTAATTTATTTTATTTGATATCTTTTTCTGCTTTATATTTTTTTATAACTTATATAATTATATATAACTCACGCGCGAACTCTCTCTCTCTCTCTCTTTCCATATCTTTCTTAACGCGAATAAAAGCTTGGTTACTGAAGAATTGAAATGATTTACGCGAACGACAAAGTGCGGTAAAGAAATGTATACGAAATATATACAAGCTGTGAACAAAAATCATTGTCCGACAGCGAAATTAGCTCAACGATAATTATAGAAGTGCCCGCGGGGATATATCGGAGAAAGGGGAGTACACATCAGTGAAAAAAAAAAAAGCGGCGACTATTCTCTGTTAAACTATACAGTTTGCTTTGAGACGCCGGGTGAAAAAACACACGGTAAACGCAAAGGGAGACGAGGAAATAGAAAGAGAATCTTCGTTATACGAGAGAATTTACGTTTTGTAGGCTGTCGTCGGACTGAGTTTATTTTGAGACATCAATGTGAGTAGCATGAAAGAAACGCGAGAGAGAACACAAGGAAAAATACTATGGACCGCTATTTCAGGTGCGCGCCACGCCATTAACCCGTTTCGTCCGAACTTTGCCTATAACGTGTTCTCACGTTGCTTTCATCGCGGACCGAATTCATCGGCAAGTGTTAAACGCTCGATTTCGCGTAAAAAAAAAAATATTTATAGCTCCGCGCGACGATATATTATATCGCGGCAAATATATTATATCGAAACATAATTTTCTAAGTAATTTCCGCATTCTACGGAGTGTTTCTAAACATGTGCGAAAAATTTTGGAGGATGATTTCTTGGATAATTTCTTGAAGAAAAGTTTATATACATCAATATATCCTTAACGACTTAATTTTCGAGATACAGGGTGTTGAAATTTTAAAAATATTGAGTTGAGGCAGTCCTATTTTTTTTTCTTGCCTCACTCTTGGTCTTCAGAATTGAATTCTTTGAATTGTTTCTTCTAGGATCATTTTAAATCCTTAGTTTATACCACCCCGATCAAAAATATTGAAGGAATCGCATAGTTATATCGTGAGAAACAATTTATAATACACCTGGTATTTTTAAACGTATTCGCCAATCAATGAGAAAGAAAACAGATTCGTGTATCATGGCTGGAGGTGGTGATTTCCAACAATTTCTATAATTTTGTTTAATTTTGTTTTGATCAAAATATATTTTTTGAAATCTTATCTTTTTAACCTTGAAAAGAAACATTTTATAATTCGAAAACTATGCCGTTTAAGATATTGATATGAACTTTTCTTCAAGAAATTATTCAAGGAATAATCTCCCGAATAATCTCCCCTTTTTCACACGTGTTTAAGAATACTCTACATATGTCATCGTCGCGGTAAAGCTCATCAGCTTTCAGGTATCGTATAAATCGATCGTCCGTCGTACGGTTTAGCTCTTTTAAAGGGGAGTAAAAAGGGTGAAGGTAGTGCGTCTTTGATCGAATACTGTCAAGGCGACATTACAAACGACCCTCACAATGACTAAATTTAATGTATTGTTATACTTAAGGTTTCTTTCTTGGCAATGGACTAGACGGTAAGCCGTTGCAAATAACATTGCAGGTCGCTCGAGCTGAACGAAATGATTGACGAATGAGTAGGAAGCGCTTATGAGTGCAGCGCTAAAAGCACCACCGGGTGCCATTTTATGGCGCCGTATGCGAACCGCACATTTGACGTTAAACGTGGGTGCTTGATGTTTCGCTCGTCTAATCGACAGACGCGTATATTCAAGAAAGGAACAGGCTTGGGTATCAGACAGTTATATTTGACATTATAAAAAAAGATAAACATGAATATATAAATTTTTGAGTAAGATTTTTGTGTTAAATATAAGATATTCCGTCCTGTGTTGTGTGTAAGAGCAGTCATCCTTTTTTAATTATATAAAATATTTTATTTATATAA